TTCCTTCTGTCCTTCCTTCCTTCCTTCCTTCTGTCCTTCCTTCCTTCTTTCCTTCCTTCCACCCTTCCTTCCTTCCTTCCTTTCTCTTTCTCTGTCTCTTTCTTTCTAGCTCATATAAACATATAGGAAGATACTTCTTTCATTAGAGGGGCAGAAAACATAATTTACAAAGGACATGTACACAGTAAACAGTGTCTCAACTTCAGCCTCAACTGCCACATTACCCTCTGTGGAAGTCCCTCGAGCTCTCCTTCTGCTTGACTCACACAGGACTGAGTCCCCCTGGTTCTGCATCCTCCTCTGTCTGCTTCCTCCTCATCTTTGCTCTTGGATCCAGTAGCTGACAGTGTTCCCCTTCTCTGTGGCATTTCTTGTGCTGTGTGTGTCTTTTGTCTCCCTAGTTTCTTTTACTCAACCCTCACTGAAGATGTATGGCATGGAAGTACAGTTTTTAGATGTATTCAGCATGAGTTTAAAAATGACTTCAATACCCTAACACCTGCTCTCCCCACTGCAACTGACTTTAGTCTTGTTTTGTATAGAAAAAAATCCTTTATGGAGGTCACACTTTCAGAACATCACTGCTATCACATAGTGCCCATGAATTGTGCTGGAAAGCCGTCTTGCCTAGTTGAGATTATTTGTCCTTAATTCAGATGCCTCTGTTTGGCAGAGCCATGAACATTGCACCTGGCTCGTGGAGAGACCTTCAAGCTTGTGGGCAAGGACTAGCTTCCCCTGGTGCTCTTCAGTTATGGAGGCCCAGTGAAACACAAGAGCAGGTGGACAGCACGTAGGACCTCTCTATGACATTGTCTTGAATCTGGAAAGGGGTGGGGAGGGGGACCCCATTGTAGCCACTGCCTGGGGGCTCTGCACCACACCATGGCATGCTTCCCAGTCTCCTCACTCTGGCCTTTGCTGCCATTTTTCCACACTGTCGCTGTGAGCTGCTGTGGCCTGCCTTGTCAGGATGGGTGCTGGCTCTGTGGGAATGAGGGCGGGAGAGGTCCATAGCTTGACTTCGGCTTTGAGCCTCAAATTGTGTCTGTAAGTGGGATGGAACACCATCCTCCAGAGGAACCTGCAGCAAATGGCTTATCCAAGAACCCTCCACTCATGTGTTCTGTGGAAATAACTTATGTATTTTCCTATCTGAGGAGGACCACCGGGAATTCGAGGCCAGCCTGGGCTACATAGGGAGACCCTGTTTCAAAAACAAAACAAAACAAAACAAAACATATTTCCCTGACTGAAAGATCATAGGTTCCATGTAGGTTTTGAGGGACCTTGGAAGCGGAATGTTGAGGACATTTAAAATTTGGAACTGTGACATTCTCATTATTGAAGCCATTCAGATAGGCTTTCAAAATATTCTGTAATTTTTCATAGATTTTTCTTCTGATTTTTTTTCTACTGGGAATGCCTCAGTTTGCAGTCCCTGTCCCCCATTACCAGCACTGAGAAGTTCCCTGAAGATTCTCCAGATGTGTTGGGCAGTTCCTTGATTCAGTTTTGCTCCTGCAGGTGTAGAGAAGGGATTAGCTTGTAAGGTTGCTAGAGAATTTAGCAAGGTTTTTCTTGTTTTAAAAGTAGCACAGATTAAGTTTCACATGAACACCATAATCCCACAATGTGAAAACACTGATTCAGTTGTTGAAGAGAGTAGGATAGTATGAAGTGTGAGACAGTTGAAGTAGTGTTTTAAAGTTGACAAAGGTGGAGTGTAAAACTTGGAGCTGCCTTGTGCCATGTAGGAAGCCTGCTTTAAAGACGCAGGCTTAGCATTGCTCATGCCTTTGTATGTGGCAGTACATACAAAGACCTCGGTAGACATTTGCATCCTGATCTTCAGTTTCCCTGTTAGTGAGGGCAGTCAGAAGTGCCTTGCTTCACATTCTTTGTGCAAATGCTTGGGAGGGTGATTCTTTTTAGTTGCTGGCATGACATTAGACTCGTAGCAGTCACTCAGCAGACTGTCCTGTTTCTTTTCATTTGAAGAGATTGCATACCTGCCACATGCCAGTGGGTTTCTGAGAAACTCTTAGATGTATATATATTTTAGTATATGAAAATACTTAATTGTAGGATAATATTAGTGTTTGAATGTGTTTGTGCCATTGGCATAACCGTACTTTTCTTGTTACCAAATATTGAGAAGTCCTGTTTAAACATACACACACATCCATTATCAAATATCCATGTCATTATCAAAGATCAAGTGCTCCTGGACTGATTATCAATAGTAATAATACAACTTGAAAACCAAAGTAAAACCTTCAAATGGAATTGCATCTTACTCTTCTAAAAACTGTCATAAAGATTGCTTAATTTTTATTTCCTGTTTTTTTTGGTCTTTTTGAGACGTGGTCTCACTATACACAGTTCAGGCTGGCTTTGAACTCACTTTGTAGCTTAGGCAGGCTTCAAATTCTCAACAATTCTCCTGCCTCAGCCTTCTGAGTGCTAGGCATGTGCCCCCATGTGTAGCCCCCATCCCTTTTTAAAAAAATAAATGATGGAGATGATAATTTCTTTTCTTTTTTTTCTTTTTTTTGGTAATGGGAATCAAACTCATGACCTTGTGCTTGCCAGGTGGGTGCTGTGCTACTGAGCTACATCCCGGCCCAGTTTCTTTTTTATAACGGGGCAGCCTTTTATAATGTGTAATACCTTCACAACTGGGCCATATATTCATGATTGTCCCATTGGGCAGCTTGTACCACCAGTAGTTCAAGCCTGCAGGAACATAGTGCAAATGTTGCATTAAGCTTGCAATTCTAGTCCCCACTTGCTGAATAGCATCTACCATATGTTTGAAGTTTGTATGCCTCCAATTTTGAGGAAGTTCTTGTTTGTGTTTTCATTTTTTCCCTCATCTGTGAAATGAGGCTGGTGCTTTACAGGGAGATTTTAGTATCATGTGAGTAGATAGGAGACACGGCCCAAAGATTCCGGGCCTGGCACGCTGAAAATGATAGTTTTCCCCTTAGAGTGTAGGTGAGTTTCAGTTTGGGAGATGGATGTTTCTGACTTTCTCAAAAGCATAGACACTGGCAGTGCCCTGCCTACATCGCTCCTTGCCCAGATGGGCTCCTTGCCCATTGCTCCTTCCACTTTCCCTCCTTACTATGCCAGCAAAGGCCCCTGCCAGTGCCTGAGTCACCCCACATGGAGCCTGCTCCTCTTGTGCAGCACGTGCCACTTGGCCTGTGGGGGCATGTCAGTTCACCTTCACCTGGTTAGCACTGCAATACTTGTTGAATGGAGCCATTCTTTCTTTCAGTCCTCATAGCTTCCCTCAAACTAGGAGGAGGAAACTTCGATGAAAAGAGTTAAAGTGTTGTTTGCAAGATAACACAGCTCCATGGTGGCTAAGTAGATGTTAGTGTCTACTTTTTTAGTTTTGAAAATCATAATTCTTCCACCAAATCTCCTCCCTTTGGAGATGGGTACTGAGGATTGAATCTAGGGCCTTTGTACTGAGCTGCATTCCCCTGCCCTTTTTATTTTTTGAGAAAGTGTCTTCGTAAGTCACTAAGTTCCCCAGACTGGGCTCACAATTGCAGTCCTGCTGTTAATGGTTTATGGCTCAGATCTTCTGAGTAACTGCCTAGACACTGCTTGCTCTTCAAGGAGATCATACAGTGTGATGAACAGATGTGATCACTGGAAAGTAAACAGAGATGATGCACTTACTATCGATCTTTATGACACAGTGACTTGACTGCTTTTGTAGTATGTGCTTGTTTTTATGTGACAGTGTTCCTTAACTTAAGAAATTATTGTGTTTTCTAAAATAACTGATAATGTGCTAGATAGCCCTGGCCGCCATAACAAATTACTGTACACTGGGTGGCTAAAATAGCAAAAATTTATTTTCTCACAATTCTGGGGTCTGGAAGTCTGAGATCAGGGTGACAATGTGGTGGGATTCTAGTGAGGGCCTCTTCCTGGCTTGCAGACAGCTGCCTTCTCTGTGGCCAGTATGACTTCTTATTTGTGTGGGCACAGCTCTGTTTCTCTTATAAGGTCACACTAAACCATTCATTACTGGACTATACCTTTGTGATCTCATTCAACCTTAATTTTCTGCTTAAGAGGCCCTTTTGCTACTTACAGTAACAGTAGGGGTTAGAGCTCCACCATTTGAATTTTGGTGGGCACAAATGATTCCACAGCATAACATTTTGGAGTACAAGATAATAATGACCTTTTCCAACAGAAGGGAGAAAATGAATAAAGTTGTATGTCATTGGACACTGTAAAGGGTAACTGGCAGTATATCCAAGCTGTACATTACTAGTATACCTACTTTCCTCCTCTTTCCTGCACTCTGCATTACGTTAATTTCATTTCTCAAGATCAAATCTAAAATCATGTTGCTCCCTCATCTTTGCCTAGTAAATTAAGTACACACAACCCCTTACCAATACGACCTGGGCTTTATTTCATGCTATATTAAATTATTTTTCTCTCTATTTTTATTTGCCAAATTTTAAACTTATGAAAAAATTAAAGAGTAATATCATGAGCACCCACATTTACATTTAACATATTGTTATATATATGTTATCTCTTTGTGTGTACATATACTTATGCAACCATATACTTTTTTCTCAAGTATTTGAAAGTGACATGCATAGTATTTTTATCTCTAGAAACTTTAATGTTTCATCTAAGAACAAGGCTTTAAAAAATATAACCATGTCATTTTACACCCAAGGAATTTTAACATTAATATGGTGATATTGGTTGATGTACAGGCCCTATTGAAATTTCTTCAAACTAAGCGGGGAGGTGGGGAAGAATGGTCCTGTTCCTTAAGCCTTATTTTGTGCTGCTTTCTCAGCTCATGTCAGTATCTGTCCGGATGGGTGTGCTTGTCCTTCCTGAAGCATGTGCTGGCCTCTCTGCTTTTGTGCCTTTGCCCAGCTTGTGCCTAGTTTGGAGCCTGCACCTGTCTTATTCCACATGGACCTGGCAACGTCCTGTCCTTCCAGATGTATTCCAGGCGGTACTGTCCCCTTCTGTGAAGCAGTTTCTGACACCTGCTCACGTGCTTGTTCCTCCTTTCTACTGTGCTCCTTATGCTCTTGGATAACATTTATTGCGTCCTCCTACCCAAATTACATGTGGATCTTAGGGACTTTTTCTTTGCCCTTTTGAGGACTGTGAGCTCCTTGAGTATGGGGTCTCTGTTGTCTATACTATGCATTTTTGCTGCTCACCAAATATTTTGTTTGATAGACTTAAATACAGAGTGTTTTACATGATGCTTTACTCTCAGTATAGTTCGTATATTTGTAGTGTTGTTTTCTGTTTTGGAAAGATGGTCTCAAAATTCTAATTTCCTGACATCCTAAAGAATGGAAAGTGCTAAAGGGTGTGGACTTTAACATGTCCATAGCGGTAGGAACCTCCATTTTTTTCTACCTCAGGGGATTGTGTCAGTGGACGGAGCTGGTCAAACATGACTGTCTAGTCCAATACGTATAAAGGGATTACATTCATAGTATCACTGGTATATTGGTGATAAGTTGGGGTGGCATGTGGCCTGCTGTGTCCCAGCAGGAAGTGCTAGGGAATGTTGCAGAGCAGCTATAAGATCTCTTCTCTTACATCTAGGTGCGAGATGCAGCAATAAACAGCTTAGTGGAAATTTACAGACATGTAGGAGAACCTGTGAGGACAGATCTCAGTAAAAAAGGATTGCCACAGTCCCGGTGAGTGCAGACTTTTTCCTTTTTTCTTTTTCAGATACTACCTTGGTCTTTACTACTATTTCTGATATAATTTTATTCCAAGATTTCCTGGCTAGAGGGTTGGTGTTTGGAGGTCTTGTCCAGATCATATGTCTGTGGTTCCTTCCCCCTCAAAAATAAGGTTCTTGTGCAAACATCTGGTTCAGTCCTGTGTCTCCCACTGACTTGGGGAGCACCTTTAAAAGTGATTGGTGTTGAAACATTCAGCACTCTTCCTGTTTCTTTACTTTGCACATGGTGCTTAGGTAATGAACTGTGTATTTGTTTGAATGAATGGAGCTTTTCCAGAATGCATCTGGCTAGAAATACATAAATAATAGTTCTAAAAAATATCTTTGAAATGTGTTTATGTCATTTTCAATCTGTAGAAGGCAACACAAGGAGGGCACCTGCATTTTACAAGACTCAAGACAACTTGAGTCCACAGAATTTTTAAAGTAATGTAACAATCGGACATCTGTCTTTTAACTTTGTTGGGGAAATAAAACCAGATGAATTCTAAACCTTTGCCATAAACTGTTGCTTTAAGGAAAGAAGCGATACGAAATTGCAAGCCAGTCAGCATGGCAGTATACTCCCAGAGTGCACTGGCCTGTCCTTTGTCTATGAGGACAGCAGGAACCCAGTGACATGAGATGACCTTTGAGAGACTTCACAGCTAGTGAGAGCCAGAGCCAAGATTAAAACCTGTCCTTCAGACTTGCCTTTTAATTTTCCTGGCCCTGTTTCACAAACGTGGACAGCGTGCTGGGATGGAGCACTGAGGTAGTGCACAGGAGTCATCTGTCTCGGTGTCCATCAGGCTGTTGTGGTGAAAGCAGGCTCTGCCTTTCTGCTGTGGAGTCAGACCTGACCCCAGTGTTATTTTCACTGTGGCTCGTGTGCTGTGTATGATAATTATATGGGAATAAAACTGCTCTTCATCTGTTTAATCAAAGATGATCTATGAAGCCAGAGTTACAGGTTGAGCATCCCTAATCTGAAAATCTGAAATCCAAAACTTCAAAGTTTGTGCTGACCTAGGAAAGTCTCTGCAATGCCCTCCCCCCGAAAAGCCAAGGACCCCAGAAACCCTACATGATATCTGAAGCACTTATTTTCCCAAGCACATATAGAGGAAACTCAACCTGTATGTATCTGGTTTTTGAAGTTCAGCCTTCAGGTTGCTGAATATATGGTGAGAACACTTAGGAGTTAGGAGAACTTAATGATAATACTGACAGTCTCTTTGGAAAACCAGAGGACACAGATCAGCAGAGAGGGCTGTTGAAAGAGGAAGTCAGCATTGCCCATTTCCTGCTGCAGAGAGGGCCTCACACCTGCTGTGTAGTGCATGGTGGCCCCATGGCATGAAATACCACCTTTTATAGTTTCTGCCTTACACAGTGTCTTCCTGTGCATTGTGGGAAGGTAACTGCAGCAAATTAGATATTAGGGGAAATGACCCAGAGAATCCAAGTTCTGGGGAAGTAAGTATAGAAGGCCTGAGATCACTGACCTTAGAAGAGCCTAGTTACAAGGCTGGCCCCAGGCTGGCAGCTGGAAACTTGGATTTGGGGAAGGCTCCTTCCATTCTCAGAGAGTGGCTTGAGGGAGGCTTATCGTGTCCTGACTGAACAACACGCTGTTCTTTGAGCTGTGTGCCTGCTTTCCTCTGGGGGCAGGAGGTGTCTGTGTGACCTGGGCACCATCTCTGAGCAAGTTTCCTGGTAAACAGCATGTCACTCATGTTGTCAAAGTTCTGTGCTGGGTGATTTAAGCATGTTTTGTGTGACTCCTCAAAGAGAGATTCTGGAGACTGTCTGGTCTCTTTTGACTTCCTCTCAGGATGCTTTCCTCTTTGCCACTTGTTCTCTGTGTCCTTTTGGAATAATAAATCACAACTGTGGCTATGGCCCTGAATCCTATGTGTTGTCCTGGTGAAGCATTACATCTGAGGTGGACCTGGGAACTCCAACACTAGGTGTTCAGATAAGACCCCAGAGGTGTCACTGCCAGAGTTAGGCTTGAAGCTCATCCCAGCTTCCCTCCACCACTCTTAAACATTGTAAAGGAATCTGCAGAAGAGGCTGGACTTCTGAATAGGGATGGAGGTTTCTCTCAATCGTGTTACCTAATATCTTTGCTAGAAATGGAGAAGATGTTCATAGGGAAGTGGCCTTCATAGCCATTGTTGTAAAACTCTGGCAGACACAAGTGTCTAGAAAAGTGTTCTTTACAAACTATACTTAATGAAACTTTACATTTCTTTGGGTATATTACAAGATCATAATTTAAGATCTGACACTTTGAGAGTCAAGGGTCTGATTGGTACCTTTATTTTGTTGGGGATGCAGGCAAATAGAATGCGGCTTTTGAAGTATCATACCCTGGCTTTGGAAATTCAGTATCTGGTATATTATGGGGCTCCATGTAGCTGACTTCTCAAAACTCATTATGGGTTGTTGTTGTTGTTGTTATTTTGTGAACATAATGGGTTTTTCAGTTTGGCAAAATTCTGTAGTACTAATAAAATGCTGTAAAGTAGGATTTAGTCCTAGAATAAAAGTCTTGGTTGGCCCCCTAAGAATTTGTTGGTGGAAAGATCATTATATTTGAGAAGAATAAGATTATACCTCTAAGAGGTAAAAAGAATGTTCTGATATGGTAAAAAGAATGTTCTGATATGAACTAAATGATTTAAAAAGGAGCAGTAGTCTCATTTGAGCAGTAATCTGAGCAGTTTTCATTATCTGTTTGTTGCGTAATGTGCAAAAGAAACATATATTAAACAGCTTCACTTTGGAGGGACTGGCAGTAGAGTTTTGGGCCATGGATTAAGTTATTTGTTATTGTTATTTGGTAGGTAAAATCATATTGAGCTGGATAATAAGGTAGAAATAGTCAACAAAGTCTTCATATTAGAGTATCTCTCCACTCATACAGGATCTCATTGAGCCGTGAGCCTGAATCAGTAGAATATTTTACCATTTTACATGTATTATTTTTCATAGTTCATGCATGCGATATATTCAGAAACTAAGAATATACTTAACTTTTAGCTAAATATATAGTTGTATGATGTTTCATGAGGCATGCCTCACAGCTTAATTTAATTTAAATCACCTACAACTCCATGTGACTTACTTTTTTTTTTCCTGGAAGATAGAGCATTTTATTTTTTTTTTAATTTTAAAAAGAATAGTAAATTAGAAACAAACAAACAAAAAATAGAACAGTAGCAGCATACCAGTATCACAAACACAAACAAATCAAAGCAAGAACATTTAAAGTGATACAGGGTTTCAAGACAAGATAATATGAATCAACAGTGGTTGTTACATTACATATCACTATCCTCAACTGCATTGCTCAGATTACCAGATGTAAGAATGGAAGATTGCTCAAACCATTAAAGGGAATAAGAAAATAATTATTAGATAAAACATTAGAGATAATACAGAGTTTCACCAGATAGGATGGTAGGAGTTCACCATTGTAATTCCATTGCATATTGTTACCTTCAAATCAGTTGCTCAGATTACCAGACATAAGCATGCAAAATTGATGGGAACAGAAAAAATTATAAGCATTAACTGTTCATTTCAGTACACCATCAGACATCAGCAATACAGTTATTGCAGCTATTCATGTATATATTTATATTTTGCCTTTCTTCTTTCTTTTTTCCATGTGACTTTTATAGATATGTGCTTTCAGCATGCATTTGCTGTCACTCCAAAGACTCCTGGAAAGTAATTTAAGTCAGCGTGGTATATTTTAGTTTGCAAAGCTTTGGAGAAAAATCAGATTACTAGAGTTAAATTTCTTTGGGTACTATTGTTTGGTAGCTAAGCTCCTAAAGTAGCAATGGTTTTAAGCCTGAGGATAATTTACTTGCAGACAAACAAATACATGTTATCTGGTTCATTATAACTATTTGGTAAACTTACTTTGTGAACCTACGATTTTGAGCAGATCTCATAATACTCGCTCTGTTGCTGTCTTAGCCTGTTTAAAGCGTACATTCACTTTAGATATTACATAATGATTACTTTGGAAAATTGAAACTTTTTTTTTAATTTGCTAAACTTTAATGTTAAGACCGATGGCAAAAGCAAATGAGAAATTGCTGTGTTATTCATTCTCATTAAAAGTATTTTTTTGGTCATAATCATTTATATAGAGAGAATCAACCAGATTTATAAGTGCACTTATAAAAAGGCAATGCCTTACTGCCTCTGCCATTTTTGTCTCAGAAGCAAACATTGTCAACTCTTTTTGTTATTTACTGCTATTTCCTAGTAATATGTAAGTATCATTACTGAAATTTTTCCTTTTTATCACTTAGATTGTGTGTGTGCATGTGTGTGTGTGTGCGCGCTTGTGTGTGTACATGCAATGCTGAGGATCAAACATAGGACTTCACATATGCTAAGAAAGTGCTCTGGCACTACCCTGTACCTTCCACCCCACTATTAGAATCTTATTTTCCACTGTGGAACACGGATTTCAGCTATCTTTCCTCTGAATATTCTTCACGTACATCTACCAATATTTTCCATCTTATCTACCAAATGTACATGTATTTTCATTTTGGTTAGAACAAAACTTATATTGTCATTGTATATGCTATTCTAGTTCACTACTAATACGTGGTAAACTATGATTACTTTGCTCTTTCTCATGATGTGGACCTAATAATTAGTTAATTTTTATTCGCATAGTTGGCTGTGTACTGTTTGCACACTAGGACCTACTACATTAACCTCTGTGTCAAGTTATGTACGTCTCCTTCAGCCAGTTTTAGTCTAGACTGATTGCCTTCACTACCTCGTACACACTCCTTTATCCCATCCCTCCTTGTTACCATCTTGGATTGCTTTCTGCTCACTCTTTTGGACAGATGCATGTGTATTGGCTTCACTTCTCTGCAGGCACATTCTTGCAGACCAGGTCTTTCTAGGTTTACTCTCTCATTT